GTTGCCACTCGTCGCTTGTAGCGTACTGCGCCCACCGCTGCTGGTTGGTCGTAGTCACCTGGAAGGAAGCACAGGAAGGAGAAGGAAGTGAGGTGTTTGAAACCCGTTGCCGCACTCACGGCCTGCGTCGTCGTTTTTGCCGCTGTTCGTTGTCGTCGTAGTTCGCCTCGCGGTTGCGGCACAGTTTGCCGCTCACGCACTCACACGTTTGTTGCAGACCTCGTTCGCTTGGTCGGTCGGGTATTGTCTCTATCGGTCGCCGTTTGTCATCGTTGTCACTCGTAACTCGTCCTTGCGGTTCCCGTTCCGTTTTGTGCCGTTGTCGCTTCGACTGTCGTTCGCATCAACGCCAGCTTGTTCCTTGCCTACGCTGCCTGCCTGTTTGCCTGTCAACGATGGTTGGACGCAGTAGATCTCTGCACCAGACAGATTACAAAAACGACGCGGTTTACCTGTTCCAGTTCCCGCGCTCCAGCTTCATCCCGAATATCTCACCGTTCTGTCTAAAGCTCGAAACGTGGCTGCGCATGAACAGTGTGCCGTATGAGGTGAGTATCAAATGCACAAATTTGTGGGTGACTCGCTCGAATCCAAGATCGCCGATCGATCGATGTGTGCTTCGCAATGCGTCTACTCTTTCTTTCACTAAGTACAGGTTTCAGTCAGGCAGTAACAGTACATAATGTGACCTCGGTGATCGACTTTTGGTTCCGGCTATTCTTTACTTAAACTGACCTCGAACTGCAACTTATTATTAAGTGTAAAAATCGGTCGCTTTGAGTAATTTTTCACCATCTTCAAAGGCGCCTGTCCTTTTCTGCCTCTCTTTCGTTAGCTTACTATACAGTATGGTCATCGTTGGCCAATAGTAAATACCGAGAGGGGCAATCTAATTTCTTTCCTGCAGGCTCTAAAGATTTAATGTATGCGCTCAGGCGAACCGCCACAATTTGTGTGCATCGCCTACAAGGTCGTACTTTCGCAGGAGGCGTCCAGGCAATTTTGTATTTTACAGAAATGCCTGATTGTAGTATTTGCACATGAAATTTTGCTTAATGCTAGATTATCTCGTCTATCATTAGATGCTTAAATGGCATTTAACATTTGCTCTAATGATGACCATTCGTGGAACGGTCATCGGCCACTTATTCGGACCATCTCTGACCGACCGATCGCACTTACATCACCATCTCCGATGCACTCCGCGATGGACGACAGGCATTCCGCGTTGATGCTATGCGACGACGATCGGCTTTGCAGCGCCCCACGAAAGGTCAAGGTTTATTCTTCTGTTAACCAGCGCCTCGTCTTGTTGACCACAATGAAAACCGAGTTTTTCAGCGAAAAGCATTCGTTTTTTGTCGTACGTTCGTTATTATCAGTTAAACGAAAAAGTACAGACGTTTGATCGTATAAAATACTCACTAGCTCCCTCCCCGCTGTCGCCGAATCTCATTTAAATAAAAACCACGATGTCAGCTTGCAACGCGTCCGAACGCTTTCGAACGCGGTGTTTAGACTATGACCATTTATAAAAGCCGCTTGCTTGAGTTAATGTGTGCGTGCCGTGGTGACGACTGAACGCCGTTTACTCACGCTGTCTTCAATTAAGACCAGACTGTCGTTAACCACCCGGACCTTGTATGATTCACGGCTAAACTGGTCCGAGTTAGGAACTCAAATTACGTCTATTTGCCGTCGGAACTGGTCCGCGGTTGCCAGCGCGCCAACTCTCCTCTTTGCGTTTCGTCTAAAGCGAAAATTGCCGGCCCTGTTTCCGCTACCGTTCCGTTGCCCGACGCTCGTTTAAAAGTACTTCTGAAATGAACGTGTGATTCATATTGCGAACAGTTATTGGTCACCAGTCATGTTCAGACATGGTCGAAACTTTCACGGACGCTGAGAGGAACCTAAATGAAATGAGCGGTTCGGTCGACACATTGCCACTACACATGCCGTTGACGTTTTTTTGTGACAGTTATTAGTCATGCAGATTTATTGTGCTAACTCATGAGCAGCATGAGTCGCTGATCCGTACAGCGACAAGACTGTACTTGCGTTAATTTCGATGCAACAAACGTACATTACTCGTACGCTTTGGCGAGATGTTTCCTCTTAAAGTATGAAGGGAATTTGCTTTTATATGAATGTTACCTGAAATTGCGAGGTACAGGAAGACGTAAGTAAACCTGAACGACGCTGGTTGCTGGTATGGGGATTCTAAGGAAAGCGGCAAAATGACGTAA